CAAGAAAAAAATCTGCAACAGCAGCAGCAGCAGCAGCAGCAACAGCAGGAGCAGCGGCAAGAAAAAAATCTGCAACAGCAGCAGCAGCAGCAGCAGCAACAGCAGGAGCAGCGGCAAGAAAAAAATCTGCAGCATCAGCCACATGGGGGGTGGGAGGGGAGCTGGCTTAACCGATCGTCTTCATTAGTGCAGGGGCGAGGAGACGAGGACATAGCAGGGTTTGTTGTCATTCTCGTCACGTCCCCGCACCGTGACCATGCCATCGTTCAGCGCCCGCTCATCCCCCTCCCTCGCTTCAATCCTCTTTGCTTTGTTATCATTGCTACGTGCGGGCGAACGTCTAGTACCATGTAGATGAAGTAATATGCCTGTAGCCACCCGCGTTGCATCGTGTAGGCATGGTTTCACAAGCACTGGTGTCCACTGCAAAACATTTATAAGTTTTGAATGGTAGATAGAGGATCGGTGTAGGCGTGTTCCGTTTATGGCTGATTAAATTAATAGTTTGCTGACTCTTTATTCACTTTTTAAACAGATGTGGGACTGGGAATCACTTGACAATAATCACTCTGTTGAAGTATTTGTTATATCTGGATTCGATTTTGAGCTGGACCTTTCCTATTGCTGCTTATCAGAGGAAATGTCAACTAGCTTTAAATAGTCTTGAGTGTCTGATATGTGCTTTTCATATGTTGTTGGATATTATAACTGAGGTCAAGTGATCAATATTATATAAGTAATGTTGAGAGCCTACTAATGAGATGTGTGTGTGTATGTGTGTTAATGAAAGTGCCACCATAATGTACATAGTATAAAAAATGAAAATACATATTAAAATACCCTCATAGTTATAGAACCGGACATTTCGCACCATGTGTTTTTTAGCACGTAGTATATTTTGTTTCCTTCGTATTGTACAGAGTGCGCGAGCATAATCTAAAAATCAGTTACCTGCTCGGGTGAGACATATTTTTATGCAATGCTATACACATACGTATATGATCGTGAATACCTTATCTTCTTCGCTGGTGTACATGTTCCACACTAATATATTCAGCACCAACTTGCATTTTCCGGTGTATATTCCAAAGAACATATTGAAAATTTCATTAAATGTAAACACGTTGACTTCGCTGGCACCATTAATTATAGCTGAATACAATAACCGTGTGTTAACGTTTATAGCTCTCTCAACGTTCATAGCTATCTCAACGTTAATGGCTATCTCAATGTTCATAGCTCTCTCAACGTTCATAGCTCTCAACGTTTATAGCTCTCTCAACGTTCATGGCTATCTCAACGTTTATAGCTCCCTCAACGTTCATAGCTCTCAACGTTCATGGCTCTCTCAACGTTCATAGCTCTCTCAACGTTCATAGCTCTCTCAACGTTCATAGCTCTCTCAACGTTCATAGCTC